AATAGAGGCCCTTCAAAAATTTGTAGATGTTTCCTGCAGCCCAATATTGGATAGATGGTTAAAAGATGGATGGATTCATGTACTAATTACCTAGATAATTACCTAGAAAAGTAAGGGTAGCAGTGTGCTGCGCTTCTTTGTTTGAGGATTTGATTTCCAGGTTTGGCCCTGTGTGTAGATCTGAATTTTCACTGTTTTTGTGCTGGTTTTCCCATGGTCCTAAAACCTGTTTTGAGGTGAAGTGGTGTTTATGAATTGTCTATATTGTGTGTTTGTATTGAAGAAAGTATGGAGCCCCGTTGGTGTCATGGTAAAAAAATATATAATCTTGTAGTAATTTGTGCTGCCAAGTAACTAATTTGTTCTCAAGGTACTCATTCGTGCATCTAAGATACTAATTTGTGCTCTCTGATTGTTAATTAATTTGAGTGCACAAATTACTAACTCAAGAGCACGTATTGGTAACTCAAGAGCACAAATTACTACGAGATAATATTTTTTTACACCATGACACCTAAGAGGCTCTGTAGTTTTTAATTTTGGACCAGCAATTCCAACTTATGTCTATTTCGGGTAATAAAGCACGTATTTGAAGGTTATGATCCAATACAACAATAATTATGACCCTGGCCTCATACAGGATGTAGATACAGACAGTTGTGCCCCCAAGAAGTAGCATTAGTAAAAATGCATCCCGTTGACTGATATATATTATTTGTAACTATCAGGAGGACATCATTGTCCTTGTGCCTGAGCCTCAATAGATATTAACTTGTCACATTTTTATGGTAAATGATTTGTTCCAAAAAAGAGGCAAAATTAATAATGACTGAGAAATTTTGGAGTGATTTGAAGATGAATAATTGTTCTTATATATATTTATATGATTCTGATTCTGATTGGGACAGTCCACGATCAAAGTAAAATCTGATGCATTCGTCCATGAGGATAATACCAAACCTCGAGATGATGGGAAAGTGACATGGGTTATGTCGAGATCACAAGAAAAAAAAAATGTCGTGATCTCGAGAAAACGACTTTGGTTATGTCGAGAGTCGAGATCACGAGAAAAATAAGTCGTCATCTCGAGAAAACGAAAAGAAAAAAAGAAGTTTATGCATGTCCTCTACAGACCTCCGTACTGATTTCAGTATAAAGTACACTCACCTAAAGGATTATTAGGAACACCATACTAATACGGTGTTTGACCCCCTTTCGCCTTCAGAACTGCCTTAATTATACGTGCCATTGATTCAACAAGGTGCTGAAAGCATTCTTTAGAAATGTTGGCCCATATTGATAGGATAGAATCTTGCAGTTGATGGAGATTTGTGGGATGCACATCCAGGGCACGAAGCTCCCGTTCCACCACATCCCAAAGATGCTCTATTGGGTTGAGATCTGGTGACTGTGGGGGCCATTTTAGTACAGTGAACTCATTGTCATGTTGAAGAAACCAGTCTGAGATGATATGAGTTTTGTGACATGGTGCATTATCCTGCTGGAAGTAGCCATCGGAGGATGGGTACATGGTGGTCATAAAGGGA